GGTCAAATCAAGAATGAGAATCTTTACCCTTGTATGGGATTTATGTTCCGGGGTATTTGGAACATGTTTAGGATGTTTAATAGTTATTACCTGTCCCAAACCATCAGAAAGACTGAGTTTCGACATCTTGACTCACTCAGGCCACTCCCAGGGGCCTCGCCCACCCCAAAATTACTGAAATCCAGGTCAAATCAAGAATGAGAATCTTTACCCCTGTAGGAGAATTATGTTCCGGGGTATTTGGAACATGATTTGGTGGTTAGATAGGAAGTACCTGACCTCAACAACCAGAGAAACTAATTTTCGACGTCTTGGCCCACTCAGGCCACTCCCAGGGACAATTCGAAACTATTTTTAGGGGATTTGAAATCCGTGTCAAATCCCCTACAAAATCCCCAACAAAATTCAGGGAAACGTCTTCTTCTGTTACTTGGAATTGTAACGCGCAATTTAACAATTTGTAGACAAAGAAGCGCGCCGCGAACCACGCGGAATATCAATTGTCTCTTCAAGTATTTCAAACTCTGCTGACAAAATAAATTGATTGTGACTCTAATAATTGATTAAAAATAACGGCATACAGCAAATCTTGTGTAAAAAACTGTGATAAACAATATGCTGTTAAAACAAGAATTGCGCCCGTTGTTTCGTTTTGGCGGACGCTAGATTTCCATTTCACTATAACTATTAATATAAGTTCTAATCAGCTCACCTTATAATAATAATATTGAAACATCAGTACACTACGCGTGCCACGTTCAAGTTGGGCTTATCACAAAATACTATACATTATATTGTATACATTAAAACACAGTCGCGCCGCGCATTCATTGACCACAGACTAGCTATACACCACATCTCCGCAAGCAATCCTCGTGCGCGTGCGCGCGGCAAGTTGACATGGTAACGAACGGAAGCAAGGAACACGACATATATTTGACCCACCAACTGCAATCCCCAAAATCCACGTTTTTCTGCAAAAACGTCCATTCGTAACCTTTCACTATTGCCTTTTTACAAAAGGGTGAAAAGGAAAAATTTGTCAAAAAGTTTAAGAACACGATGTCCCGCCCAATTTTCTGAAGTGACAATTTTGGGACTTTGACGGGCTATAACTTTCGCTAGGAGCAGCCATTTCCCCAAAACTTGGTACCATATGACTCTACTCAATGAGACCTTTCCAATGGTGTATAATATGTTGGGTTTTGAGACATAAAATCTCACCCACAAGTTGGCGCTCTTAGTACATACACTATATGAGTATTGCTGAAAGCACAGTGTAAGGCCTACACGGACCGCCTCTAACTAGCCAATCCCTGTTTACATGCCGTGTAGCAGGGGACTAGAAAGAGCTAAACTAGTAAGCGGGGCATAGCCAATACACTATACTTCCATCATTGAGTATATTACCAACCAAAGGAAAAATTTCCTTGTGTTTGGAATCTACCAAGACGAAAGTTGTACAATCCAGCTAATATGTAATAAGCGCCATGAGTTGGCACAGAATTTTTTGTCTCTGATTTTGATAAATTTGGTACCAAAAGTTGCCTTTAACTGTGAATAATGAAAATTCACAGTGTAGCACGATTCGTTGAGATGTATGTGGGCCTCCTGTGCATTGCAAAAGTGTACTATGGACGAAAAATGGTTAATATAATGTATTGCTTAAAATGCCTATAACTCCTAAAACATTGAATATTTTGAAATAATTTTTACAGAATCGTAATGAGCTTAATCAGACGCAACTTTTGGTACCAAAATTATAATATTTAAAGCATCAAATTTTTCGAAAATTTGTTCAACAATTTTACACCCTTGTTTTCAGTGTTCAGATTAAAAACTTTTGAAAAAAAATTCCTTTAAATCTTAAAATATTAATACTAAAAGTTTCGTCTCGATGAGTTGATTACGATATCATAATAACTATGTGATAATAATGTAAAATGTGAAAGTTATAGGCCAAAAACTAAAAATTTGCGCGAAAAAAGCACGCGCGGCGAACAAGCGCCGTGTAGCATTTTTTCCGAAAATTGCTACACGGTGGATTTATTTTATTCACATTTTTAGACAACTTTTGGTACCAAATTTATCGAAATCCGAGAAAAAAGTTCTGTGCTCGCGCTTTATTACTTTATTACTTGGCACTTATTACACTGACTAATTGTGAAAATTCTCACAGTCTCTAGAAAACAGTGGTACAAAAATTTTTAAAATCCGAGCAAGATTATTTTTATCGTGCACCCCCTAGGGTTAGGGTGATGAATTCACTATTTGCAATTTGGCCATGAAGCTGAATTATTGAAGCTATGTTTATCACTCCTCTCCTCACTACCTGCTGATCCCTCTTCTCCTGGTGACGTCCTGGTTAGTCGTTGCACTAATCAGGTTTAATACAATTTTGCATCTCCAGAATTACAAATTGGTGATTTCTGTCATAGCATAGTGAAAACTCCACGATTATCTTCTTCCAGGTCCATTGATAAAAGGCTCTTTTCCTTACAACTTTGTTCAGGAAGGTGTCAAGGGAAAATACTTCAATTTGAATAAACCGTTAAGAATTGTAATTACAATATCTCAGTGTTCCTCAATATACTATGTCAATAATTCCAATATCCTAGTTCTTTAACTGTAAACTTTAACTGCAACTTTAGTTGTACTTAAACCAGACGGCCCCAACGTTAATGTGGCTCTTGCTATGTGTTGGTTCAGCCGAATTAATTATTATATAATCAAGTTTATTTTTCTCGTTAGTTGTCATCCGGCCAAACATTAAGCAACTTATATTGCAGTACCATTTACCATTTAGTATATCAAAATATGTCATTGTAATTTTGCATGGCTGAAATGTAACGCTTGATTTATATATATAATGATTAATTGAATTTTCAAATAAAAAAAATAAAAAAAGGGTAACGTCCCTTCGATAGCTCCACCCTAAGTATACCCAGAAAGTATAAACAATCTCCCATTCTTCCGAGCAATCTATAAACAATTTCCTAAACTATCTTTCTAGTAATCAAAACAGAGGTGCTAAATTGAACTCTCTGATAACCAAAACAGAGATGTTAAAATAAACTTTCTGCTCCTCCAAAACTCTCTGTGCTAAATAATTCCTAAACTATCCTCCTATAGCCAAAACAGAGGTGTTAAACTGAACTCCCTGATAACCAAAACAGAGGTGTTAAACTGAACTCCCTGATAACCAAAACAGAGATGTTAAAATGAACTCTCTGTTTCCTCAAAGCTCTCTGCTCTTAACAATATCTTTAACTATCCTCCTTGGAATTAAACAGGAATTAAACACTAACAGGAATTAAACATGAAATGACCAAGGAGAACACTAACGAACTCGTCTATATAAGTATATAGAACAATTCATAAAGACGATCAGAACTCTAAAAATCGAGAGAATGCTATAAAAATAAAATCTTAAAAATTAACCGCGTTACAATTTCACCGAAAAAAATCGAATATAATAATTAAAATACGAGTAAAAAAGTCATGGAGATGAGTTAATAACGATGAGTAGGAAATGGGAGGTGATGACTAGGACTTCTTTTCAGGAGGATTTCGAAGGTGAAAGGATTCTGTGAGGTACTTTCCAAATTCTGTTGCATGGAATGAGTTCATGATGGCCCCATATTCTTTGAGCATTATGAGGCTTTTAAGGTTGTCTGAGAGGTTGGACCGGAGGGAGTTGTAGCTGGGGCATTCATTTATGACGTGGTCCTCAGTTTCAAGGATAGGTGTTTCAAAGAATGGTAGTTCTTCGAAGATCCGCATGACATCGAGAATTTTCAATTTCAGTCAAGTTTTTAAAATTGAAAATGGTGACAACCAAACATTTCTTCCACAGTCGTATTACTATTACGACTCATAAAGTATATTATTATTATACAATTAAATTTATGAGCTTTCCATTTTGAACTAGGCGTAGCTCAACATTTTAGACAAACCGAGATGCCCAAAATAGTTTCTTGTATGTGCCATTGCAAAGGTTGTTGTCCCTCGCGTCATCACATTACTGGTCACATCGTCCCTTTCACGTGACTTTGTGTATAGTTGAACTTGACCGCACAGAATATTGTGCATTCTACCTACCGTTTGTTGCTTATTGACTGTTTAACTATAATGTCAGTTTCCATTTGTTTAGATTTCGATTTTTGCCTTTGTGCTTTCAAATGGTTTTCACCTTTCAGGCAGTAATTTTTCGAATAAATCTGTCAACGTATTTTAAGGGTTTCAGAAATGATCCAAATTAATTTTATTTATTGACAGCCTCTAATCGAAATTGTATTAATTAAGGTATGTTTACGACTCCTCGCTATCTACCGATTTTTCTTCTCCTACTGACGTCATCTCTTTGCACTGATCAGGTTTAAAATTACAAAGTTATACTTTTCCTATCCACGGTTCGCTTCTTCCCGTTCCATTTAATTTTAAAATCAAGACGTTTCCCGGCGAACAATGAACACTTCCTCTAAGAACAGTCGAACCGCTATATACCGTACCTTTCTGTACCGGGTGCCTCGATATACCGTACCTTTATTTTCCCGCAAACTTTTAGTTAGCTCGTTTTGCGAAAGATATATGATTTAATACAGCGCATATCGTGGTGCATGCAGCATGTCGAGCTGTAATCTGTATTCCATCACAAGCCCCTAATGAGGTATATGCCTATGAGACGCTTGACAGGTTATTTGAAAGGCTACATATACTGGGATCATTGATCATGTGATTGTGAACCTAACTTTACCTGTTTTTTCTATACTGTACACTTTGCACTTTTCGTTTCGCACAAGAAGCCCGGTATATAAAGGTTGGACTGTAAAAGTATATTTAATTTGCGATATGAACAAGTCAATGCCTTCACGTAGTACTAGTAGCGTGTACAAGTATGATATTTGAATCTCGACCCAGCCAATCAGTTAATGATTTCTGACGGATGTAATGCATAATGAATTTTAATCCTTCAGGGACCGGACTCCGCCGAAGTTACTATGGGCGAGCTTAAAAGTCTTAAACTTGAAATGGAGCAGATGAAATTGTCAATGGCCCATGAAATTGATATGGCGAAGAGGGTAATAGAAGAAAGTAAACAGACAAAGTTATCGCTGTCCAATGAAATCGAGTCAGCGGTCAAGAATGAAGAGAAAAAGAAAAGAAATAAAAAAGATAAGAAGCAGAAAGTGAAATTACCGACTATACAGACAAACAGCAATGAAGTGATGGAACAAGATGAAACTATGGAGAGACTCGCCGAAATGGAGTTGTCATTGGCCAATGAAATTGAATCGGCGAAGAAGGCAAGAGAAGAAAGTGAAGAGATGAAAGATTTGTTAACTGAACAGTTGGCAATGGTCAGGGATGATGTGGAAAGGAAGATTGATGAAATCCAAGAAAACATTGAAGTCAACAAGGAAAGTATAGGAGTCAACAAGGGAAATATTGAAATCAACAAGGAAAATATAGGAGTCAACAAGGGAAATATTGAAATCAACAATGAAAATGTTGAAGTCAATAAGGAAAGTATTGAAGTCAACAAGGGAAATATTGAAATCAACAATGAAAATGTTGAAGTCAATAAGGAAAGTATTGAAGTCATCAAGGGAAATATTGAAATCAACAATGAAAATGTTGAAGTCAATAAGGAAAGTATAGGAGTCAACAAGGGAAATATTGAAATCAATAAGGAAAGTATTGAAATCATCAAGGGAAATATTGAAGTCAACAATGAAAATGTTGAAGTCAATAAGGAAAGTATAGGAGTCAACAAGGGAAATATTGAAATCAACAAGGAAAGTATAGGAGTCAACAAGGGAAATATTGAAATCAACAATGAAAATGTTGAAGTCAATAAAGAAAGTATTGAAGTCATCAAGGGAAATATTGAAGCCAACAATAAAAATGTTGAAGTCAACAAGGGAAATATTGAAATCAACAATGAAAATGTTGAAGTCAATAAGGAAAGTATTGAAGTCAACAAGGGAAATATTGAAATCAACAATGAAAATGTTGAAGTCAACAAGGGAAATATTGAAATCAACAAGGAAAGTATAGGAGTCAACAAGGGAAATATTGAAATCAACAATGAAAATGTTGAAGTCAATAAGGAAAGTATAGGAGTCAACAAGGGAAATATTGAAATCAACAAGGAAAGTATAGGAGTCAACAAGGGAAATATTGAAATCAACAATGAAAATGTTGAAGTCAATAAGGAAAGTATTGAAGTCATCAAGGGAAATATTGAAGCCAACAATGAAAATGTTGAAGTCAACAAGGGAAATATTGTACAGGTGATCAGTGATGCAACCTTACTTAAGAATGGTATGACGTCTATGCAGGATGACATAGCTTCGATGAAGAAAGAAGAAGCCAACAGAGTAACAAGAAACGAATTAATTGCGCTGGAAACAAAGGTTATGAGAACTGAGGCAACAATAAGGGACAGTAACTCGGCTATCAGACGCGACATGAATAACAAACCAAGGTAAAAATACTGTTCATGTTTATCATTAGTCTTCCAGATACTTACTAGGACAACAAAAATGCAAACTACCCCTGTACATTGTACAACACTGTTATTTTATGTTAAATTATCACTGCGCTATCAGTATCAGTAAGTATCATTCTTCACGACACCGAAATTCTACATTGGGAAACAGCTGTATAATTAAGCTGCATAATACTAAAGGAGAGACCTGAATTTGAAATTGCACCGGTGAAAAATCCCGATTGTACGAATCTAAGTAAAAGAATTTGAGAGTCGCTTTGTCATATAACCAAATCCTTGCTTAACCGAAACATTATGTTCAATGTTGGAAATCCCTGTCATCATATAATTATATTATATAGTCTGGACAGCAAGAACTCCAAAAATATGCGTAACACTTATATTTCATATCACCAAGTATAATCCGGAATCCGAATGAACCATTAGAGACCGACTCGAGCTATACAATTTCAATATAAATAAGCCTCTATTTCAACTTATTCACTCATTATTTCAGTGACTTTTGGACCGTCCTATAATTATATACTCAACTCGAGAACGAGAAAAGTCAAAAGTGTAGAATTTATTCTCAATATGACACATGTAACTGCGACTACTTTTTTTGAGCAGTAAATATCTTATTTATCGGCGGAAAATAAAGATTGAATTCGACATCTGCGGCTGATTGTCTCATACTGTTGGTAAATGGTAATTTAGCGGAGAGGTGGAACTAGAATTGCGCGAGTTTGTAAGCAGTAAGGAACATTGAACGTGTTATCGATTAACCAATCATCTGCCAATTAACCAGGTTAGAATAAGCATGCATGATGCACCACCTCCCCGCTATTACCCGCTGTAACTTTATGATTACAAATGACGTTAACTCTTGATTTTCCCAGTCCGGTTATCATACTGCACAGCAAGGAAACGAAGCCTGAAGGAAATCCTAAATGTGCTAGAGTCTGTGCTGGAACTTCAGGTATTTGTTTTATATTTATATTACTAACTTAGCTATCTTTATTCCGAGCTGATATGTGGCTAACATTGGCATTATAGCTACAAGAGCCACGCGTTCCACTGTCCACAGCTAATTATACGATCACTATCAGTCGATTCTTGGCATGGTTATCTAAAATTCGGCATGTACGCAGGCAGGCAGGCGCAGGCACGCACGACGGTCTCAAAGCTACCATATTTTAATACTTTCAACACTACTATATAACAAATAATTTGAGGAATCGATGTATAAACAGAGTCGATATATTTTAATGTTGCCATGGGGTGGCAAGTCCCCATGGCCATACATCGTGGTCCGGTAGTTTCATTGCGTCCTAATATACAAAAAAAACCTCATTCGCTAATATAACCCTTATCCTTGACTCTTTTGTGCCTTTTTGAGTCATGGATTGGGAAAAAATCCCATATACGAGACTGAGGGTTTTTTAGAAAATGTGCCCATTAGGGTTCGGTCTAGCGATACAAATTTCGTACCTAAACGATTTTGGGTCTGAATAGAATGGCCAAATAGAATGGCCAAACGATTTCGTCAGAAATCGTGTACATCGAAGTGCACATTCAACTATGCCCTGCTACTAGAGTAGGGTCAGCTGAATCCGTACCAGAGGATTATTACCGATTGCCAAGGTTTGATACCTAGGCAATCGTATTTTTTTGATACCTAGGCAATCGAGACCTCTAATTTATACAATGTACATGTGTAATCAATGGTTTCTATACATTCGTCACTTGTCCTTATACAACATTTTCAGGGCCGACAACTGAGGCCGAGAAAGATTGGGTCCGAGTCGGAGTCAGTTCGCACAAAATTAAATTGAAAGTCGACATCAGCTTATGTGGATTCTTCAAAGATCCTACAATAACAACATCAATAGGAGGAAAGAAAAGCCATAGCCTTGAACTTGGATCAGCATTTTATTTGCCCAGTAAGAGCTTTGTGGTCTATCTCCATAGTGATCAGGGATGGGACATAGATGCACAAGAGGCAAAGAAATGGCTTTGGAATGTGGAATGGATAGCAGTCGGATATACATGTTAATAACTCACAATGTAGAAGGAACTATACTATACTACAGTGTACATTGAAATTAAAATTAAGAAAATTGGTCTTATTCATTTTAAATTCGGAATTTCATACTATGATTGAAATGATTAAATGCTCTTCAATGGGTCCTTACTCCTTAGAATCACTAAAACTATGAAAGTTCAATTGATCAAAAAGTGGTGATACAACTGGAGTTCTTTAAGGCCAGAGGGGGGGTGGGGGGTGGGGGGTGGGGGGTGGGGGGGGGGGGGGGGGGGGGGTTAATGGCACTTTTCTAGTTTTCACATATTTTAATATAATAGCTGCTGGAGACAAACAAGAAGAAAAAAACTGCAGATCAAAATCTGACCTTGCGCTCCTGAGATATTGCGCGCTAAATTTTGAGGTTTACCTGTGATTTTTATTTGAAACTTTTACAAAATAGCAAGTATACAAATGTTCAGCAAATCGAACAAACATATAAAATGGGCCGAAATGTATAAATGCTAAAAAGCGTGGGTCAGTGAAACAAGTACAGAGGACAACTTTCAGAACAGGAGTTTTTTGGCCGCCCAAAGTCTCAATAACAACACCTCCACCTAGTAATAAAATTAAAATTGAATTGAACTGGTTCTCAAATTTTTAGTGAACAACTTGTGAAACTTCAAGGTGCAAAGATCAATTTTATAGGAATATTCACCGTAAAACTTCCAAACTTGATCTTAAAAGAAACTTGGATGATACTTAAGTATTTACCATTGTAAACTCTTTTAAATTAGATCAAAAGAAAGCCCTATCCTAATATTAGTCCAGTACTTATGTAGTTTATGCAAGTAAAAAGTGGCCTCTGATTATACAAAATATTTAATTTTATAACCGAAGTTATGATGGAAGTGAGACGATTATTTTACATCACGAGCGAGTAGATAACTGCGATGAGAAGTAGCAGGACTGCAGTGATGGTAGTACTGCACTGTTACACCTGTCACAATAACACTCAACACAAGTGTTATTAGCAATAGTATTAGTAACACAGGGTCTACAACCATTGTGGGGGAATGAATAGTCTGCATCAGCTGCTGTTACGGGCCTGTTAATTATATATAATAAAAGGGAATTTTATTGAATTCTCAGGCTTAAACTACCAAATTTTAAACACTAGTTAAAATAAGTTAAAGTTACATCATGTCGTTCAAGGAAGCGAAAAAAGACCCAAATACTTACTATGGGTCTCGATATAATAGGCTTACTCCTCCCATCTAGAAAACGTCATAAAATAAATTTCCATATCGAATATCGATTCCCAGGTCAGTAACAAAAGGGCAATTGATTGATCCCACGAGTATTTTTTGGAGGATCCCCAGAATATTTGTACTAATTAAGAAAATTACATTACATCATATCAAACACGTTTGAGATATCTTACAAGTTGCATTTTATGGCAGTATTCTTTAGTCTGTAACAAGTAGTGAAATCTTTTTGTTTCATTCCAAGAGTAGTTGTAACATTCGAAGTTTTCCCCAGTTTCAGGGGGTACGTTACATCCGTCTGATTCACATTCAGTACAAGTCACGTTTAGATCAGCTGATTTGCATTTTCCAGTTTCCACAACCATATTTCTGGTCGCTTTCTCCAGCATAATCAACAAATATAGGCCTGAAGTTGCAAGAGTATATGCTTTTACTAGTATATGCATAATGTCGCAATTCTTAATTACCGTGGCACGAAAATAGAAGTTGACATCTACATTATATAAATGGTGGGTCAGAAACATGTGACAATTTTTATTTTGCTCTTATGCGATAACGATGGAATGAAAAACAGTTCTGTAAAACATGAGAGATGTAGTATTTTAGGTACAGAAGAAAGATTTCACGGTGTACACCGAGTACGTTTAGACTATTTCTATGAGTTTCAAACATATTAGAAGTAGAACTAATTTAGAGCAAAAATTAGCTGTTTTATCTAATCGAGATTTACCATTGCATCTGGACTATGATGGCGAATACTGAGTATAAATGTGAACTTTTGAACAAGCTCGCTGTTCAAAATTGAATAATCAGAGTTATATTGAAAAGAGAATTGAAAAAAAAACTAATTGTTTACCGTACAAAATAAGTCAGAGAATGTGAAAATCAGACATAAAATGTGGAAATGGTGAGCAATTTATAATGATCAGATGTTTCTGACCAACCCTGTAGACTCTGTTTCAAATAGTCTTAAGGTGTGCCTGCCAAATTTCAGAATGATCCCATAGAAGATACAACGTAGAAGAAGATATTCGTCCATATTTACGGGAGTTTGAAAAACATGATTGAACATTTACACTGATCTTCAATTGATTTTAAATCTTCAACTTTCGCTAGGAACAACGAGGTAAAAAGTATAACAGATCCCCGACACCACCCCCCCTTCCCTTACTCCCGGCCCCAAATACAAGAAAACTTACCGCACACAGATTGTTGCATTAACTTGGTCGTCCGTACAAATTGTTGCATTAACTGTTCCATTTGTTCCCTGAATACAATTTAGAGCTCATGAAGGCACATGATCTTCAGAATTTAACGCTAAACGACCAAGACTAGCACAGGGTGTCCCATAAACTGGTGATCTAGGCGCAGTTCACTTAATATTCACGGCAGTATCCAAGAAGCCCGACCACTAAGGGTAGACATTAGAATATTTCACGTTACTTTAGGGTTATGATGAGGGTTAGAGTAATAATATAAGGGTTAGTGTGAAGGTTAGGCTTAGGTTAGCTTTACGGTAGACCTTTCCATAACTATAATCCCAACCCTTACTCGAAGTTGTAAAATTAGTGAATCCTAATGAGTAATGGGTCATAGACTAGTATCCCGACGTCATAACCAGGACAAGGCTAGTCAAAAAGTCAAAAGCAGTCACTAGCCGGCTAGTGACCACTTACTGGCTGCTTAGCTTGAATAGCTGGCTAGTGTCCGCCATAGTAGCCACTCTTAATTTGATAAAGAAGCTAGTAGCCGGCTATTTACCGCATAGTGGTTAACATAAAAATTAAGCCAGATATTAGACGATTAAAAAACTTCAAATTGCAACCACGTCCCAACTAGAGCTAGAGGTCTGCTCCAACATTGACAGCAAAACTAAAGTAGGATGCTCAATCTGTCTGAATCTATAAGCTTGAGGACTGTCTTACCGGACAAGTTTCTACATATATGAACTCCAGCAGTCTTTACGAACTGCATCTATTTCTAAGGTATAGGCTTAAAAATGGTGATTTATGCAACTTTTTATGCAACTTGTCGTGCAACTTTTTATGCAACTTTTAGAAACTCATGGATGGGTGAAAAAACACTTGCAATGCAATGGTCTTGTTTATTATATAACCTAATGTGGTTACTTTTAGATTAATTTGGCATTGGATTTATATAATCAAAAAACAATTGCATGGCTCCATGCAGTGGCGTAACGATGCATGTTTACGCCCCCCCCCCCCCCCGAAAAAGTGCCGGGGCACTTTTAAAAGCATCAATTACGGAAAAAAGGTTAAAATTTGCCAAAAATCAGTTTTTTTGGCATAATTTGGTGGATAATTTTTGGAACGGGATAAAACTCCAGAATATGGTGTGCAATACCCTAACCCTTTACTTTCTGCCACTTTTTGTTTTGATTATGGGCTAAATCTGGTGGATAAAAGTGAAACAGATCAAACCACTTCAAGTTCAGGTGGCCTTTAAAAATATTTAATTCCATCTAAACTCCTGAAATTGATTGAGACTGAACAGTAATCGTTATAACTTCAAAATTTCATAAGAAGGGCTGCGATTTTTCTTGAGGGTCAAATTTGGTGGATATATTTTTGTCCTCTTTTTTGAGACTGTTATTCGTTAGCTAACATCAATTTACTGGTCTTAAAATGATACAAAGGCAATGTTAAATCTATGGCATCAACTATAAAGTTCGAGATTCAAGTTAAAAGGCTATTTTTGGTGGATATCAGTCAATATGAATTAGTTAAACGCGTAAATGCTACCAAAATATCAATAAATAAGACATCATTATGATTAAAAACAGTTGAAAAGATAAAATATAGGATGTTGAACATTTATGCATAAGGACCTTATTAAGGTACTATGGCATTTTAAGCATTCAGGGCCAATTTGGTGGATAATTAACTCAAAAATACTTAAAATATCGACCTGGATATTTTAATATCCATCAATTTTGGCCTTAAAAGTCGGCTTGAGCTTATCACGTTTTAGGCTGAACAAGTTAAATGTCTAAACAAACCAATATCAGTGTATGATTTCATAATTGAGCAAATCTAAGGCCAGAAATAGTGGATAAAAAAGCAAATTTAACCGTTTTTAAGCTAATTTCTTAGGCATTTATCCACCAAAAACAGCCCTAAATGGAGAATGTTTGGAACGTTTACTTGAAACTATAGCCCTTCTTTACGACCTCAGAGCAATTATTTTCAGCTCTTTCAACCTTAAGATGTAATTATTGGGCGTTGAAAGTGGATCACATACGTTATCAGTCAAGAAATCGTTATTTCCATCACTGAGGTAGGTTATTCACATTTAATATCCACCAATTTTAACCTTAAAAGTCGTCTTGGACTGAGAATTCTTTTGAACTGACTCAGCAAAGGGGATCTTCTATCTGAAAGAAGTTGTAGTTTCATGATAGAACACATCTAGGGCCAAAAATAGTGGATAAAAAGCAAATTTTCCCGTTTGTGTGCTTTTATACACCAAAAACGGCTCTAAAGGCTGAAAGGAGACTGTTTGTTAAGTTCGTATGAAACTCTATCCATTCGTTATGTCCCTAGAGCAATAATTGTAAGCATTTTCAGCTTCTAGACGAGATAATTGGAGTCTAACAATGGATAACCTGCATTATTGACACAGAATTTGACCTAAAAATAAAATCAATCTTGAAGCACCAGTCTATCCACCAAAAATGGCCTAGAAAGTAAATCTTCTATTCTATCATAAACTTGGAACGATTTCCAACCTGATCCGGTAACTGAGTAAACCTGATGAACTTGTTGACCAATATAATTTTTTCAGTTGAAAATTTTCGGTATTGAATTTTATTTCATAGTTTTATTATCCACCATATATAGCTTTTGAAATCTTTTTTTTTAGCCTTTTTTTTATAGCCTTTTGAAATCTTTCCTTATTTTTGCCTTTTATCATAGAGGCAAATCGATTTGCTACAATTTTATCTTTAAATAATCACCATAAATTAACGACACGTAAAGTTACAGGCCAATCAATGATATATCCACCAAACCCCTCTGAAAAGTATATCCACCATTATTAGCCCAGATTTAAATGCATGTATCTCTGCTCATAGACATAGTAGACATTTTATTCTTTTTGTAACAGTTGTACTATCGCGAATCTGTAGATGTCGCACAGTTTGATCAAAATATTGAGTATATCCACCAAATGAGAGCTTCTAGAAGATGAAATTTTTCCCGTGGGCCGTGACAGATTCGTTAACATAGTTTTTGAAAGTGCCCTGGCCCTGTGGGAAAGCAAAATTTGTTCGAAATCACCTTTCGCACGTGCAAACTTTGAGCGGACGTTGCGTGTGCATACAATATAGAATCGCCGTATATTATTGCATATTGGTGTTTTATATATTTATATTGTTTGATAAGCATGCATGCAAAGTAACAATAGATTTCAAAAAGAACTTGGATCACAACGGGACTCCAAAGTTGACAGAAAATGGTGAAACTAGCAATTTTCAGTGATTTTAGCAATTTTATATCAATTTAGGCGTGTCCCCACGTGTGTAACTTTTTGATTCTCGCCAAGTTGAACAGCAGTGACCTGGACCAGAAAACACGGTTCTAAAACATATTTTATAGCCCAGCTCATTATATTAATGTCCGAGCTGCAGGATCATTGAACTTGACATTATCCCTGAGAGCTGAGGTAATCCAGCCTGAACATAACAGCGGAAAAATAATCCGGCCAATTTTAAAATAAATCTCCTTTTTCTTTGAAGTTTAAATGTTGACCCAAGAATAAGATTGAAACTGTAAATCACCGATTGCTCGATTCACCAACCGAAAATTTGCCGAATATCCGGAGAAATACGGTTCCGGCTGGATATAATACGGCTTAATGTCCAGTTCCGGTCTGGTTTCCGTTTAGGTTGCGTGGCTGCATATCAACTGGACATTTCAAGATTTTTCAGGCAGATTGTATTTAAAAAACTTCATTATTTCGGGAGTTCAGGTAACATTCAGGGTCCTCACTGGAGTAAAATTATACAAATAAGATACATATTTTGAAATGGAAATTTCCTATATTTTGAATTTCGCAATAGAGTCTGGTGCAGAAGTATTGGGTTTTTTGATAGAAGATACAGTTGTTTAATCGGTCGTATCGAGGAGCAAGTCATCTCTCCTGTCGTGGAAGAAGTAACACGACTCAAGAAAATAATTTAGCGCTATCGCGGTGTAAACGGGTTTGTAGTTGTTGATGCTTCTCTTGTAGAACTCCACCGACTCGGAGAACTGGTTCTTGCTTTGACGAGCCTCGCCAACAAAGAAGTTAGCCAGGTATTGCATAAAAAGGATCGCATTTTTGGTGTGAGGAATTGTACTTTTATACGTCGTCCATTCGAAAGCACTCTTCTCTGTGTGAAACTGGGAAGCGTAGATCGGTAGTTTTTTGTGTTCCGCCAGAGCTATGTATTGTTTCCCATTAGCGTCCCAATTTACCGCCAGTAGGTTGAAATTGTTGTGGAGCGGACCGTCGGGACTCTCGATCTGTTCTGCACCGATACAAAACGAGTGAGAATTGTAGACCAGTTGTTCGGTTTGAACAGCTTGGTAAAGTTTGCTGTCTAGATTAGACAACATTCTGGAGTTCTGTGCTCCCTGAAATTAGATTAAAATGTTTGAGAAATTTGACGCCTCTTTTTATTGACGATGGTAGTGATGGTAGCGATTTTATCCTTACGAAAATAGCACGAAATGTTGCCCTTCAAATCTTCAGAACAATAAAGATTTCCATTTTCCTAATCTACTTACCTCCTGAATGGTGAGATTGTTTGGCATGTGAGCGGAGCACTTAAATCGGATGTCCGATGTAACGTTGGTATTTGCTTCTGCGTACAGTATAGCCTCAAAACCTTTGGAAATTTTCGTTACGATACAAATAAATTAATCCTTCACTGCGATAGACCATTACATGATTAATTTTAAGGTTCTACTAACTCTTAAGGTTTGGACTATGAAGAATGAAATCAGGTATAAATTGGGTGATGTCATTTCGATCACATTAATAATTTTGTGATATTATGACTTTTGGATTTACCTAAGCAAGTGCCCCAAAGTGGAAAGTAAGATCCGTTTTTGTTGAAATTCACTGTCCAGTCGTAAATGTACTTGGAGGCTTCATAGAACTTGGAGATGGGGAATGTCTGAAACATTATAATATGATGTCTGAACTCTGAAGAGAAGGTATAACTGGTAAACTTAATCTTTTGAATGTAAAATTTCACTGCACCTTTGACCAACCAACTGAATTAGAATACCAACTATATTACATATTGTATTAGTATATTGGGAATTGGGATGTAGAATAATCTGTGATTCTTGATTTATGTAAATAGGTATAGATAAGACATAAATTGTACTAACCCGGCCGCCGCCAGGGATTAACATTCCATTTATGGAATGAAGAGTTCGGTTCATTTGGTCACGAGACATGGAGTCAAAAACTGGAATAACTTGGGCACCTGGGGGTGGAATAGTATAATAGTCAAATGAAGGAAAAACCAGTTGATTTATTTACTAAGAAATTTGCAGAAAAACCTAATCTTCAACTTGTACTAGACGTGGAATATTTAAGCATAAACTAAAACTAAAAGTAGAAAAGTAAGTCTCGAACCTGCCATCTCCAAAAACTTGACGTAGCCTACGTCAAGGGGGGCGCCAAAAAGTAACGTTACGCCACTGGACGTAGGAAGCAGCAATGTAGGAGTGTCCGTACCTCTGGAACTGTCCATTAGTCTTCTGAGTGAGGATGCCAATAACTGGGCCCTTGTAAGTTGGAGGGTAGGAGACAGCTTTGTTTGCCGTGACTGGAGCATAGTTCATCCCAACTACCATACCCAGAACCAAGAGCACTGCACCCAGAACCAAGAGCACTGCTATCTTGAAGAGTAGATACCTCGTCATCATTTTCTGCTACTTTTACTGACAATTACTATTGTTGTAGCCTGGAATCGTAAGATTTTCGGTTTGTCAGCAGCTACAACAATTATTAAACTTGCGATTAAATTGGTGGAATATAGAAACCGGATAAAAATAACTTCAGTGCATCTCACAATCTGGGACCTGTATTATTTAAATAGCAACGATGAGACCCATGCAGGGCCTTAAAATGTAAACAATTGAATCTATAAGTCTAAACATTGCCGCGGCAATCGAAGATAATTGATCGTGAACATGAGTTGCAGGTGTAAATACAATGCAAACAATACAACGAAAAGTTGCTGGCATAGAGCCGTGAGCTGGCTAGCCGACGGCAATCGGCTGGCTAGCCGGCTAAGCCGGCTAAAACTGGGAATGGGATTACCAGATCCTAATTTTTATTTTGCTAATATTACTATTTTGTATTAAAATTGATTGGCTTATACTTTATGTTTCTTTATACTTTATGTCGATTTTAAGGGCAAAACTTGAAATGGAAGGTAACAAGTGATACGATTTCATAACTTCAATAATAATAAGTTAGTCGATAATAAGTTAGGAAATTCTCATTGGTCAGAGTCAATCTCTAATTTACTTATAAAACTTAACAAAAGATCTCTGTTACGATTAATGGGCATAATGGCTTTTAAATTGTCTGATGAGATCTTTGATCTCCTCTTGTTTACAGTCAGCCCTGCTGCTGACCATGTTCTTTCCACATCAGCAGCGGATGCAGGAACCGAAAATATAGCGCATGCTAATTTTGAAAGAAGGGGTAATGTATCACTACGACATTTCCAAAATCTAAGAGTGTCCATCTTGGACAGAAAGTTTTTAGGGCACTGCAAGGCCTCATATACTTCAAAAAGTACATAGTACAATAAAATTTAATTTGCGCACGTACGTACTTTTTCTGAAATTTATGAAATTTATCTCTAAAGTCGATCATGGTATAATTTGTTACATGCCGTCTAGATTCCCGGCCTGAAGTAGAGATAAGTGATAACTGCTGAAAATGTGTTAGCCGATCGACTAGCCGATGGCAATCGGCTGGCTAAGCCGGCAATTTCAATTTGCTGGCTAAGCCGGCTTAGCCGGCTAGCTCACGCCTCTATGCTGGCTTATGGTGGTCTGAAAATAATACATATATATCAACGCAGCCTAGCAACGCAGCCTAGCAACGCAGCCTAGCAACGCAGCCTAGCAACGCAGCCTAGCAACGCAGCCTAGCAACGCAGACTAGCAACGCAGCCTAGCAACGCAGCCTAGCAACGCAGCCTAGCAACGCAGCCTAGCAACGCAGCCTAGCGACACAGCCTAGCAACGCAGCCTAGCAACGCAGCCTAACAACGCAGCCTAGCAACGCAGCCTAGCAACGCAGCCTAGCGCATATCTTCGTATAGCCCGGAGAGACCGTTGGGCCCGAGTGCCATACAACACTTCGATCGCGAGGCGAGCATAAATATATGTATTATATCCACAAGCGGGCGTTTATCACGAAGCTTCACTTTCAGTTTCCGACAATCACAGCAAATTAAAGTAAAAGATTTCAGAAACTTTACGACAAAATCATGTTGCTTTTGGCTTAGATGTAACCCACGAAAAACCGGCCACTTTCAAACAATTCTTGAGCTCATTGTTTCATGTAAATATTTTAATGTAAACGATCAAAATATAGGCACTTGCCGCATGAGTGTGAGTTTTTCAACTGTTAGCATCTACGACTAAAGTTTTAAAGTTACCAGGAGAGTTTGAAACGGAGAAAACGTGAGACTGAGAGTAGAACGTAAAATTCGCAAAAACATCATTTTACTGGCGGTGTCAAAACAGGGCAAGTTTCTATTCGGTGCACAATATATTTACAAGTACAAACCCGACCTAAATATTTAAAAAATAATTCAGCTTGCAGTTACAGGTTACCTTATCGGACCTTATTTGGACGGACATTAATTGAACGCTGGACGCCCTAACGTTCATCTTAATGTCCGTTCAAACAAAGTCCGTTCATTTAAGGTCCGTCCAAGTTAAAGTCCGTTGAATTTTTTTCAAACATTTTTCCACTTCGAACTTTTTGATTAGAATATGACAACTATGAGAACTTTATTGTGCCGTAAGTTAACGAAGAAAAGGTTCTCCTTGGTCTGCTAGAGGCACAGAAAACTCTTATACTAGTATATGATGTTTTCAAGGGTCACTTGGCGGAAAAAGTCAACGAAATTAATATTATGGCACTCAACAACATGATTCATGAGCTAGTCCCCGCCAACATGACAAACTTGTTCCAGCCTCTAGATATTACGGTAATTCGTGTTGCCAAGGACATTGTCCGACGTTGTTATATAGATAAGGTATATGTGACTACTCTATTTTAATTACCTTTCAAAAGTGGGTACGCTCGGACGCTTGGTTCACGCGGGTAATTTTCGCTAGGACTAGGAGTACCGGGAAGAAACATTAAATTATATAGGACTCACACAATTTAGTACACTGGTATTTGCAGAAAAGAAAAACTTGTTCGTGCTTAATAGTACAACTTTATCACAATGCTGGCAAGCATAACCGGTGCCCTTATATTCACAACACTATTTACCCCCTATACTATTACCTATATCCCCTTTATTGTTTTCCAGGCATTAAGACTCATCAAAAGTAGTTCAGCAGGTATATTTAAGTTTAAAACATTCTAATTCAATGTTAAAGATGACAGGAATAAGAAATAGTTATGTGGAGGTTTTTAAGAAATTTGCGCAAAATACGCGCCAGCATGTTATACGAAATTAGGTAAAAAACCCAAAATCGCCATATTCAGGTGCCTTAAAAACCATTTTAAAATTGGGTTAGAGATTTGAAACTTTGCAGGGCGTCTAGACCTTGTCCAAATCGACTGTAAAAAAAATGTCATGTTTCAGGAGTATCGGGAAATAGGTTTTCTGGAACCCCTGTTTTACAACAGATTGTCGTGAAGCATATATATATATATATATATATATATATATATATATATATATATATATACTCCCTTCCGGCCGACCGAACTATTTTCCTAATATCTCCTAATATAACTTTGATCGAATAGGCCTAAATTCATGATGCACTATAAACTTGATTTGCGACAGAAATTTTAGACAATTTATCTGCTTACGTGTAATTTCAAACTCTTATCAGTTACCATGTCTTTTATCTAATTTTTATCAGCAGATTTATAAATCTGCTGTTCATTTGTAGTTTTTACCATGCCAGTTATGAGTAAATTTTTGCTTCCCATCAATTGAGTGCAGCTTTAAGTTTCAAAATTTTCAGTTTATTCAGATTTTACGTTTTCAATATTGCAAATTTTTAATAAATCATGTTCAGATTATGGTGATAATGGATGTAAAGGTACTTCAACCGAATTAACAATCCAACCGTGTGTATGACGTGTCCCAGTAGCCAATCATAATATATGTATTTCTACCGGTGGCACCTACTGGATGGCGGTTAGATGAGTACACTACTCTCACAAGCATCTCGAGTCTCTCGGTGATCCTGCCTCCACACCACACCCAGTCTGGACTCCCTTCCGGCCGACCGAACTATTTTCCTAATATCTCCTAATATAACTTTGATCGAATAGGCCTAAATTCATGATGCACTATAAACTTGATTTGCGACAGAAATTTTAGACAATTTATCTGCTTACGTGTAATTTCAAACTCTTATCAGTTACCATGTCTTTTATCTAATTTTTATCAGCAGATTTATAAATCTGCTGTTCATTTGTAGTTTTTACCATGCCAGTTATGAGTAAATTTTTGCTTCCCATCAATTGAGTGCAGCTTTAAGTTTCAAAATTTTCAGTTTATTCAGATTTTACGTTTTCAATATTGCAAATTTTTAATAAATCATGTTCAGATTATGGTGATAATGGATGTAAAGGTACTTCAACCGAATTAACAATCCAACCGTGTGTATGACGTGTCCCAGTAGCCAATCATAATATATGTATTTCTACCGGTGGCACCTACTGGATGGCGGTTAGATGAGTACACTACTCTCACAAGCATCTCGAGTCTCTCGGTGATCCTGCCTCCACACCACACCCAGTCTGGACTCCCTTCCGGCCGACCGAACTATTTTCCTAATATCTCCTAATATAACTTTGATCGAATAGGCCTAAATTCATGATGCACTATAAACTTGATTTGCGACAGAAATTTTAGACAATTTATCTGCTTACGTGTAATTTCAAACTCTTATCAGTTACCATGTCTTTTATCTAATTTTTATCAGCAGATTTATAAATCTGCTGTTCATTTGTAGTTTTTACCATGCCAGTTATGAGTAAATTTTTGCTTCCCATCAATTGAGTGCAGCTTTAAGTTTCAAAATTTTCAGTTTATTCAGATTTTACGTTTTCAATATTGCAAATTTTTAATAAATCATGTTCAGATTATGGTGATAATGGATGTAAAGGTACTTCAACCGAATTAACAATCCAACCGTGTGTATGACGTGTCCCAGTAGCCAATCATAATATATGTATTTCTACCGGTGGCACCTACTGGATGGCGGTTAGATGAGTACACTACTCTCACAAGCATCTCGAGTCTCTCGGTGATCCTGCCTCCACACCACACCCAGTCTGGACTCCCTTCCGGCCGACCGAACTATTTTCCTAATATCTCCTAATATAACTTTGATCGAATAGGCCTAAATTCATGATGCACTATAAACTTGATTTGCGACAGAAATTTTAGACAATTTATCTGCTTACGTGTAATTTCAAACTCTTATCAGTTACCATGTCTTTTATCTAATTTTTATCAGCAGATTTATAAATCTGCTGTTCATTTGTAGTTTTTACCATGCCAGTTATGAGTAAATTTTTGCTTCCCATCAATTGAGTGCAGCTTTAAGTTTCAAAATTTTCAGTTTATTCAGATTTTACGTTTTCAATATTGCAAATTTTTAATAAATCATGTTCAGATTATGGTGATAATGGATGTAAAGGTACTTCAACCGAATTAACAATCCAACCGTGTGTATGACGTGTCCCAGTAGCCAATCATAATATATGTATTTCTACCGGTGGCACCTACTGGATGGCGGTTAGATGAGTACACTACTCTCACAAGCATCTCGAGT